CAGCATTATAGAGTATTTGGAATTGACTAACAGAAAATGAACAATGGTCTCTGTATAATCTCCTTGTCTTTAAAAGGTTTTTGCTTATACTAACATACATAACAAAATCCAATAAGATACAACCTGGTTAGACCATTGGAGACAGAAGAACAAAAGCTAGATGAGACTTCAAAACAAGATGGTACTGAATCAGCATTACCTATTAAGATGTCATTTTCTCAAAAATAGCTGTTCCTATCATCCAATCTTCTCTGTCTCATTTCTGTTGAGCTCTTTTTCTGTCAGTAGCTGTCAGTTTGTCTTCTTCATTTTGTTCTCTGCTCCATTCGTTGTGGCCTCCCTGCCACTATTTCTGGGTTCTTTGTATTTTTCTTTTTTTAGAATATCCTGCAATACTTTCTGTAGAGTTGAATTGGTGGTTGCAAATTCCCCCAGTTCCTCTTTATCCTGGAAGCACCTCGTTTTTCCATCAATTTCCAGGGACAGTTGTGCAGGATATCTCAATCTTGGCTGGAGATTATTATCTTTCAAAGCTTGAATTATTTCCCCCCATGCTCTTCGTGATTTGATGGTTTGTGAAGAGAAATCTGCTGTAATTCTGATGGGTGTTCCTTTGTAAGTGATCTGTTTCTTGTCTCTTACAGCTTTTAATATTCTGTTCTTGTATTGAATTTCTGGGATTTTTATTATTATATGCCTGGGTGTTTCTCTGTTAGGGTTGTAGGTAGCTGGGGTCCTGTATGCCTCATACAGCTGAGTATCTTTACCTTTTGCTAAATTAGGAAAATTCTCCTGGATTATTTCTGTGAGTAGCTTTTGTAATTCACTTGTTTGTGTCCCTACTTCTTCTTCTATGTTCTTAATCCTTAAGTGGTGGCTCCTCTTATCATCTTCTTGTCTTTGTATTATTGCTGTTTGTTTCTTTGTTATTTTTAAGAAGTTTTTCATTTCATTCTCCCATATTTCAAGTCTGCCCTCCAGTTCAGATAGTCTGTCCTTAGTTTCTTTCAAGCTGTTATGCCAGTCTTGTATAGACTTATTAATTTCTTGATAGTCCCTTTGAACCTGCTTCACATACTCAATGCTTTCTCTGTTTTCTCCATCAAGCAATTCTCCCCTCTTTTTCTGTTCTTCCATTCCACCATCTGTTTTTTCCTGGGTGGTGTTTAGCATTTCTCTAACTATTCTGCATACTTCTAGCTTCAGATCATTGATAACTTCATTCCTGAATTGGTCTATGAGGCTCTCAATATGGTGCTTAATGTATACTGGTGCGGCATCCATTATTGCCTGTTTCTCAGGATTGGGGGCCGAGGAGCTTTTTTTGTTGCTTCCCTTCCCCATATTTTTTGTTCCTTATAAAATGCAATCTTACAAAGGAGGCCCGGCTTCCCTGCCTGTCAGCCACAGCCTGATCAAATTGCGCTGGCTAGTTGTTCCCGCCCACCGCTGCGCACCAGGGAGTCGGAGGAGGCAGCCTACGCGGAAGTCAGTCGCTCCTCCGGGCCATCGTCCGGCTCTGGGATCTGGGTTAGGCTAGTCTAGCCTAGAGAGTCCGCCAGCAGCGTCACTCAGGCCAGGCACTTTTCTCCAATCCCGTCCGAGAGGGGAATGGCGCCCAGAGAGATCTCCGCTAGAGTCAAACTGTGGTGGGGGGTCAGATTCTCACTCACCTCGCCACCAGTCAGTTTTCGTGTACACCTCTGTCCGTCCTTTTTTTTTTTTTTCGACTCCGTTCTCCCGTTCCCAGAGCTCGGCGCTCCCAGAGCTCGGCGCGTCTCTCCTTGCTGAGCCGCTGTGGAGATAGCCGGCCGCCGCACGGCGGGAAATCCAAACCGGTTTCCGATGGCGCGGAGTCGAGCCTCCACACCGAGATTTTTCTGTTCCTATTTTAGCGCCAGGACTGTATTCCAAGTTGGATTCTCTCAGCCCAGTTCGTTCCTGAGTCAGCAGAGCATATCTCTACTGATTCGTGTCTCCCTAGTCCGCATTATTTCTGGCCTCTGAGCCGAACCTTTCAGAGAGCCTCTGGTAGTTGCCGTTGTCTGTCCGCCATGTTCTCTGGTCTCCAATTTTCAAAAATTTCGAGAACAGACTGAAGGCAGGCAGTCTAGAGAAGAGAGTCTTGTGGGTTTGGAAATTGTTTCCATAGGAGCCCCATTTGCACATAGCAATTTTCATCAGATATTAGACAGAAATCTGACTAGATAGGATGGTTGGGCATTTTCTTTCGAGGAGGGATGAGTGTAATCTGTGTGTAACACAATGAATGCAAACGTCTGTTTGCTAAGTGGGGTCAAACTCTTCTGGTTCTCCCAGGACAGTTATCAGTCTCTATCACAAGTAGGTATGACCATAAGACTGCCCAGGGCCTGGGGAATGCATCAGGAGTAGAAATGTTTGTGCTACTTCTAGGTCTGGCCCGCACAAGCTGCTCCATATGCTCCTTCTATAGGTGGTTTCTTTCCTGCTGGCTCCGGGATGACCCCCCAGGGTGAAAAGCATGCAAAAGCATGCAGAGTCACATACAAGCTTATTTTGGAAACATAAACAAACACACATACCCAGGATCTCATCCCTGAGTCCCATGGTCATGGCTTCACACTGCCAAATCTGACAGTGAGACCATGAGTTTTCAGGCATCTTCAGGAGAGAACTGTTATATGGCTTTCTCCACGTCTGTGTGACTGACCTAGGATGACCACCTTCGAAAAACTCACCTGACTCAAGCCCAGTAGGCATGCAACTTGAAACTGCCCTTGCTTCTTAGGTTCAGAGAAAGGCTGCTTAATGTCCCAGTTGGTTTACTCTGACATTGCCCCTGTTCTTTTCAAAATATTTAGTGCTACACCTGCCCAAAGCCATTTTCTTATATGCATATGAAGAATTGGGCCAACCAGTTATGGGTCCCTTTCTTCGGTAAGACTCTATAGTACCTATGTTGACACTTTGCAACTACAGCCTCACCATATGGGACTTGTCCCTTTCCTGGTCTATACAATTCAGATGGGGCTGCCAATCAAGGGGCTGAGTCCAATGCACATAAAGATCACATGCAAGAGGATGGTCAATCATGAGTCAAATTGAAGTTGCTATAATTTCTAGGCGAGAATGTCTGTTCTATTGAGGTCATGAAGCTGGATCTTTCAACACCATGTTTTTCAGGAAGGGTAAATAAAAACAGGACTGAGAAACTGGGGAGGGAGAAACAGGTTCTTAATGTTTGGTTCTGGCCCTGTTGGACACCGACTAGGCCTGCTTGCATTATGTGACTCACCTTCTGAAATGTAACTCAATTAATATTGGTTAGATTTCTATTATGTGTAACTGGGAGTTCTAATTACTGTCCAGTTTAATTATAGGAGGTCAAGGGAATCAGTGTATTTTTCCTTTGATCTTTCTCCTGGGGGTCACTGGCTGCATATCTTTTCCTTATTCATATTCGTATCTTTGTTAGAACCCTCTGAATCTTTCTCCTTCAGTTTTCTCTCTGGATCTACTGCCTCATGTGTGGTTGCAAGCTAACTGGAGAAGATGAACAAAACTCTCAGGTCACTAATAGGCTTTCCCTAAGAGATTGGGGTCCGAGTTTATCACCTTGAAAATGACAGCAGTTTTACCTCCCACCCCACCCCCCGTTGGTTGAGAGAGGGCCTCGCTATGCTGCCAGACTGATCTTGAACTTGTGATCTTCCTTTCAGCCTTTGGGAAGCTGAGCTCTTTACTGGGATGTCTGTGTTCAACAACAGTTTAGGATTGCATTGGGAAATTGCTTTATTCATCTTAACCCAGTATTTTTGTATTCATTGGTAAAGAACCAATGGGGTCAATTACAACACATTTCAAAGGGCCTTGAATTGTATACTTTCTGAGTTGTATTTTATTTTTTGGGTTAGAGCCACTTCAATGTGCCATTTTATGAGTTCTGACACCCTGAACCATTAACACCACTGTTTTCATTCCACGGAGTCCTTAGCTTTACATTTATGAGCCCAATATGGTGATGATCCTTTAGACCAAGGGTTGACAAACCCACAGGGTACATCCAGTCAGCTGCCTATTTTTGTAAATTGTTTAATTGGAATACAGCCATATCCATACATATATATATATATGTATTTAGGTTCTTTTGTAGTTGTTATAAAGACCATATGACCACAAAGCCAGAACTACTATCTGGCCCTTTACAGAAACACTGCCAAACCCTGTTCTATGTAGAGTTTACAACTGTTTCCTTACCTAGAGACCCACGGAAGTGGCATTCCTGAAGCGCCCTGAGGGATGAACGAATGATTATTTTAACAAGCCTTTGGGCACACTGCTTGAGGAGGTCTATTCTAGATCTCTTGGGCCAGGACATGACATAGCAGCTGTTTGGGATACCCATGTCTTACAGCTCCATTTTCTTTTTGAGAGACCCGGGGAACAAACATGCTCTAAATCTTGGTTCTGTAGGTGTATTTCCATGTGGGTTCAGTTTTGCTCAAGGCTAGAGTTACTTTTCCAGCTCATGGGTGGTAGTGTTGGAATTCTCCTGGGCATTCTGACTTCCGTCACATCTGTTCCTCAGGCATCATACTGTGGCTCCACACTACAATTAATAGTCCATCAAGATGTTCACACTGTTTCCTATGGCTTGATCTGAGCCATCTGTGGCTTGGAACTAATGACAAGAGGTAGAGTGTGTATCTAAAAATGTGGCCAGACTGCAGCAGTTATTACAGCCACTGCTCGGCTCTTCAAAGAGGCTGTGGCACAGTACACTCACCTTCCAGATTGACTTTCTAGTCCTATGACACCTACCGGTTCTCAGCCTCTGCATTCCAACCATCTCAGCTGTGGAATCCCACACACCCATCACATATGAGTTCCATCCATATATGCTTCCTTTTTCTCTATTAACTATGGCATAAATTCATAGCAGAACCTATGAGAGAAGTGGCTCTCCACTCTTTAGGTTGCTGCGGAGCAGAAAATTAAGTCAAGAACCATTCAACCAATAGAAAGAATGAAACTGCAAGTTTATTTGAAAATACAAAATATTTTTAAAAATACACACACACACACAAAACAAAACCAAGCCTAACCGAAAAAACAAAAAGTAACCACACACAGTCTTTCCAGTTTGCATTACTTCGAACACCACACACTATTAACCATTTAGTTGCACTTAAAAAAATGTCAATTTTAAGGTTGAGTCAGGTAATAAACTAAGAATCACAGTGTAACTAAGTTAATGCTAAAAGCTGATCTTGTTTGGGAGAAAAGAAAGCAGAGATCACATTCTGGTTGGTGCAGATTTAGGCGATGTATAAAAAAGTTGGAATGAGTTAAAAATATTATTGGGCACTTATTTGAAATTTTCAGTAGGAGGAGACCCAAAAATCTCGTAGCTTTGGATGTTGTATTTATATGTTTTTTAAAAAAATCCATTAAAAATCATATCCATAATAAAATGTCCCTGTGTTTGTTTTTTTAAAAAATTAACAGGCTCCCCTTATCTCCTAAAACCATTTGTTTTTCCTAAGATGCCTGGAAGCAGAAAAGCGCAGATTAACTCACTGCACAATTAATTAAAATAAGAATCCTTTCCTCTAAACATTTCCAGAGCACCAGAAAGAAGCAGGCAGCCATCAAAGGGGGGAATAAAGCCACCCCGACTCACAGGAGATGATACGTGCGACCAGACATGCTCTATCTGCCACCCACATCCTTTATGGATTCCTCAGAAAATAACTTGGGTACTGTTTTGAAACTGAAAGACACAAGCAGCTAGGTTCTTTTACTTAAAACAAAACAAAACAAACAAAAACCTAAGAGGCCAGTCCTGTTATTTACTTTGAATTTGACTCTTTAGAAAAAAAGACAAAGTCTACAGAGCAGGATCCCCGAAGGCCACCTCCCCTCCCCATTGCAGCAGGCTTCGTTTTGATCAGCCTCAAATATGTTACTCAACATTTCTTTGGCTATGAATGAAGCCCTGAGTGTGGAACAGCTGCATCAAGGTGGCCCTACTTGGTTCCAGGTTTGTCCTTCTGTGGTTTTCTTGCCAAACGATGCCCAAGTGTTTGCCCACTACTCCAGCACGGGGGTGGACCCTGCGGCTGGCTGAGCACACAAAAAGAGGGAAAGGAGCCCAAATAGAGACCGTGAACTGAGGGGGGCAACTGCGCTTCTGCATCCTTCAGGAACTGGATAAATAATAACCTCCCAGTGCAACAAAGCAGCAGGTTAGTCCTGGGGGGCCTTCGGGGGCAGGAGGAGGCAAAGGCTGGATCTCCTTTTGCTTCTTTCTTTGGACTTTACTAAAGGAGAAACAAATAAAACAGAGACAGTTTTCCTATACACATATAAATAGTCCCTTAACTAGAAGGGAAAAAAACCAAACACACCATTTCAAATGCATTTCTAAGAGATTAAAAAAAAAACCCAAATGGAAAATCTTGACTCCAGACAATCTTGCTGTCCATGTTGCTGAAAGAAGAGGACTCTACTGTGTCTCCTATCTACCAGGATGCTAGGCGAGGGCTGACCCTAACCTGAACTATGACGCTAACTTGGGGTGCTGGTTTTGGGACTCTGGGAAGATGAGTATGTGCAGAGCGGGGAGCCAGGAGCTCTCGTGGGAAGTCTGCGGCTCTCACGTGTCTTAGAAGCCAGGGTCCTCAAGCCTAAATGCACAGGTCAAACAGATTCCCAGGGGTGAAGGGAACTTGGGAGCCCTGGGCAGAAGATGCATCAATAAGGGGGACAGGGTGGGCATGGCTTTTTGGCTAACTCATATCCGGCCTTCATCCCTTGGCTACGGCAGGTCAGCTGGGAGGATGACAATCCAGAAGCCGGGAAAGTACAGCGGCGCACGGCAGGCCCAGATTGTCAGGGCTGCATGCTAGGAGCTGAGACCTCAAGAGAAACTCACGGTAGGGTGCCCCCTGCCTATTCTGAGAGGAGGCTGATGCTCTACACTGCCAGAAAATCTTCTCCAAATGATGATTCTTGGGGCAAATTTCAAAAACCAACATCTCCCTAGGAGAGAAAGGTTCTGAGTCCTTCACAAAACCAAGTCGACACTGGTGATCACATCAAAAGATTCTTTTGGCCACTGTCTTCACTAAGTGACAGCAATGTGTAGGATAACACAAGGTGAATTTTGAGGTTCACACCTGGGTACTCCTCAGGGGGGCCACCCATTGATGGTCTCCTGGTAGACCACCCAACCCATGTCCCCAGATGGAGCAATACGGTGGCAGCTTCTGAGAGAATCTGGTCCAGTGTCTTCTGTCCTTCTGGACACGCAACTGGAACAGAGGTGCTGCTTTCTCGAGGCCTGCTTAAACACTGGTTCATCCTGCTGCCTGCAAATGCATGATGCTTAGTCGGAGGGATTCCAATGGTAACAGAATGAAGGGAAGCATGAGGGACTGTGGGCCCCCAAGGAAAAGTGACCTCACAGAAAAGATGACAACACCTCATGTCAACCAAGAAACCAGAAAAACGCCAGGTCATCCTGCCAAGAACATCTCGGGGAGAAGGGGAATAGAGAGGCAGCTGATACCCCGACCTCAGCTTGAGACCTCCCCTTAAAGTAACGTAAAAGTGCATCCCATGAGCACCACTTGTTAGAATAACAAATTGGAGCAGACAGACCCGTCTGGACTTTGGAATAGCTGGGTTTTACATTGCTTCAGTGCCTGGGCTGGGCACAGAGTCCCTGGGTGGTGCAGTGCCTTCCAGTGGGTCAGGCTGTCCTGGGCTGGTGCTGGTGTCTTCAACACTCAGGAGGCTGCTGGCTGCCCGCGAGCTGGCACTGTCCACACTCCCTGACCGCGAGCGATAAGGGGGCAGGTCGGCTTGGTTCAGAGACTCAGTGTCTGAAGAGTAGGGTGGTGGAGGAAGGTCGTACCATGCAGGCCTGCAGTGGAGAGGGAACAGGGATGGTAGAGAGAGGAAGGGAAAGAAAACACATTATAATCAAGCCAAGGTGGGCAACAGGGACCCACTACCAACATCAGGGAGTATGTGAACTGGTGCTTTAAGCTAGGAATGAGATTTTCCCTCCAAGTAGGAAGGCAATTTAAAGGCCAGCAAAACCAGTGGTTGGAAACAAGGTAAAGAGAACAGAAAGGTCAGTGCATTCTGGCTGGTTCATGTCCACTGGGCACTGCCAAAAATCACATCTTCTAGGTGGACCCAGAATGAGGTTGCTAAGCAACGCCCAGTTCAATGAGCATGGTTCTCCCTGTGATGCAGAGGCTGGGCTGGGATTGTGGGAGACCTCTGATGGGGCCACAGAATTCTGGGCTCTCACTAAAGCTGACTTTTGCTGTACACCTGGGGGAAGCGAGAGGACATCCCCTCAGCACCCCGACTCCTCATCGTCACCATGCTTGAAATGGAGTGATTTAACAGAAAAGATAGTTTATTTCTTAGCTCTGATTACTGCAGGCTTGGAGTGCGTTGGACACGGTTCCTGTTTGTCACCACCTTTAATGCTCGCGAGAATGTCGTGAGGAAGGTGGGACTTTTATGTCCACGGTACTGTGAGGATGCGTGAGGCACAGAGAATACAGGGGTTGGCCACGATCGCAGACAACTACTGCAGTCAGCAGCAATTGCAGGATCAGAACCCAGACATCCTGTCCCCCAGTGTTGGCAAGTCTAACTTCACTCCCCACTGGTGGTCCCGATAAAGGGGTGGTGAGCTTCCGAAATTTGATCAGGTGAGTGAGGGTCTGCATTATCATCTGTAGGCTCGGCCCCAACTCCTGAAGTTTCGTTTTTTTTTTTTTTTTTCTTAAGGTGGTTAAACTGAGGATGAAACAATATAAGAATATCTGGTATGGGCAAGGGCTCAGTGGCATAAGCACCTGCCTGCCAAGCGTGGGGTCGTGAGTTTGATCCCTGGGACCAAAAAAAAGAAAAAAAAAAAAGAATGCCTGGAGCGGTGGTGCCCACCTGTCACCTTGGCACTCTGGGAGGCTGAGGCTGGAGAAACACAAGTTCAACTCCAGCCTGGACTATTTCAGTGATTTAATAAGACCCTGTCTCAAAATTTAAATTTTTTTTTTCTTTAAAACGACTGGGGAAATAGCTCAGTGTGAAGGCCCTGAGTTCAATGCCCAGTACCACCACACACACACCCAAAAAAAAAAAAAAGAAAAAAGAAAGAAAACAAACAACACCAGAGCTGCTCCTGGAGAAGGCAAAAGGTACTGGAAACACAACTGCAAAACGCCTGATGAGATGTGCAGTGAGGCCCCAGCTCAGGGCAAGAGGGTGATCAGGGCTGAAGGGCAGGGCACGGGAATGTGAGGACCAAAAGAAGCTCAGACAACGCCAGGCCAGTGCCTTCCAAAGTGAGCTGCCCGAGTGAGCGGAGGCCACAGGGAGAGGGGCAGGAAGGGGAGGCTGAGCAGGCATGACGGGGATCTGCCACTCACCTCACCTACGGGGCTCTACTCTTTGGCCTTTTTGCCTTCCTGCAATGTCATTTGCAATGCAGGTCACACTCCTTTAAAACACTTGGCATGCTCTATCACCCCCTTTATTTCATGGGTAAGTTAAGGAACTTATTTATTCACTCATTCACTTGCTCACTACAGTAATAACACTAATGAAACCTCTCCCCTGTGCTGAGCTCTGTTGTGTGGCAGCAGGTGAAGCCCAGAGCTGGCCGGTGACCTGAACATGTACCACTGTGGCATCACCGAGGAGCAGCAGGGCTCCACGGTAGCGGGATCCTAACTGTGTGTCCTCAGAAAAAGTTACTCAAAACTCCAGAGCCTCAGTCTCCTCCTCTGGAAAACAGAGGCAAATCCAGAACTTTCCCAGTGACCACTGAGAGGTTAAATGAGATGATACTGTGGAGGCTTCTGCAAGGTCTCAGTCAATGTCGGTCTCTGCTTCTGTGTACTATTGTGACCCCCAGGCACTTGACCAGGCCAGGAAACCATCACCTCATTAGATGCCTGTTTTAACCCCAGGCTCTTCCACCCAGCACGCACCTCTGGTCCAGCAGGGCCTCCGAGTAGGAGGGTGGGGAACCCACTTCCGAAGCATTCTGCTCGGCCTGGCTGGCCACATACTGGATGCCATTGTTGACGTTGTAGGTGACGTTGCAGTGGTGGGGGTGGTCCAGGACCACCAGGCGGGACAACAGCACGGGGTGCTGCAGCCGGTGCACGGGCAGCGTCATGAGGTTGTTCCGCTTCCGCTGGTGATGCAAGACCAGAGCCAGCAGGGCCACCACCAGCACGAAGATGATTGAGCTGCCGATGATAGCGTAGGTGATGCTGGGGTAGTACACGAGCTGGTTCTCCGAGGTCACAAACACCTGCCCGCTGCCTGGCTCTGAGAAATCGGGAGAGGAGAGACAAGGAGAGAGGCTTAAAATCGGCTCCCTTGGTCTTTTAAAGTCAGCACTAGGGTCTGCAGGCAAATGATCATGGTGGCACTCTTCCCAAGGGGCCATCGTGGAGCCATCCAAAGATCCCTGGGCTGGTGAATGGGTACCCCAAATGTGATCCATACACACAGTGAAATACTGCTCAACCCTAAACATTATGAACACTGAGGCACCCTCCACCATGGGTGAACTTCAAAGCCATTATGCAGTACAGTAAATCAGACCTAAAAGATCACTGTATGCTTCCATTGATAAGAAACACCCAGAGACAGAAAGTACAGCAGCTTACTAGCGTTAATAGAGGAAGTAAGGATTAACTAACTGTAAATAGGCTTGAAAGATCTGTCTAGGGTGGTGAGGATGTTCTAAAACTGAATTGCAGTGGTAGTTGCACAAATCAGAAAATTTACTAAAAATCATTGAGTTGTACAGTTAACATGGGTGAACTGATGAAATGAGATTCCATATGTTGTGGATGAGATTCCAATAAAGTTGCTTAAAAAGATGGCCCCAGGAAACGTAATAGCCCTTGTGGCAGAGATCAGTTTTCCACTGGAAACTGATGATACCGCACACACGAGGAACACCAGCAGGTGTGTCAAGGTCTCTGTCTGTCTGCAGTGTTTACTCTGTGCCAGGCCCAGGTCCAGGCTTTCAGACTGAGGACCAGCACACATGGGATTAATGACATGGGCTCTGGAGCCACCCTGGGTTTCAGCCCCTGTCCTTCCCTCTTCTTACGCACTGTGAGCCCTTGGGAAAGTGCTGCTTGCTCTGTGCTGCAAAGTGATAAGAAGCTCTTTGACATGTAGGGTGTAAAATAAACCAGCAATTGGCAAGCACACAGCTCCAGGGCCGTGCATGTTTAACATCCATGAATACAATCCTTATCACACCCTCTAGCCTCCTAACAACTGAATGAAGCAGGTGTTTCCCTGCCCCCTGGGCCCCAGTGCTAGAGATTGAACCCAGGGCCTTTGCACTGAGCTACATCACCAACTCTGTTTTTATTACGATTTTTTTTTTTTTTTTGGAGACAGGTAGGACCTTGCTAAGTCACTCAGTTGCCCAGGCTAGGCTCGAACTTGTCATCCTCCTGCCCATCGGGTCACACCTGGTCACCCCAGGAAGTAACAGGCAGGCAAAGGAAACCTCCTCCTTACAGAAAGCACGGACCCCTCTGTGCAGAAGAAGCACAACTGCCTCTGCCAAGGCCCAGCTAGAGAAAGAATCATAAGGCTGCCCCAGGGAGCAACTGTGACCACAGCTCTGTGCTTGTTCACCTGCAAAGCGGGGAGGAGGCTTCTGTGGGTACTCAGGGGCCACAATAAGGACATGAAGCAGCGGGAGCAGTGCTAGGTGCTTTACTCCATTCCTCAAGTCTTGCATCTTACAAATGTTTGTGCATCCATATATCCCAAGGGTATAGAATGGTGCCTGGCGTAGGATAGGTGCATGATAAATGCACAACTCAAAAGGGGAGAATCTATTTATCCACATGCCCCGGTAAAGTAGGAACTATTATTATCCGTATTTTTCAGATGAACAAATTGGTTCACAGAGGTGAATTAACTTGTGTGTATGCTGCAAAGAGATAGAAGCTCCTTGGCTTGTGGGGTGTGAAATAAACCCCCAATCGGCAAGCACACAGCTCCATGGAAGTGCATGTTTAACATCACACCTTCTAGCCTCCTAACAACTATGAAGTAGCAGAGACGGCAGGCTGGAAGCCAGATGTTTCTCCTTCAAAAACTGCAAAACACACCACCGCCTCTCCTTTCCCAACAGAAACATGTCCTGATCCCAAGCTAATTCTAATCTGAAACACATGCAGAACTTCCCCTTCAAACTGTTGTCTCTCTGTGTTAATTTTCCTTTCCATTCACACCCAAACATGGACTAGGAGCTTCAAAGATTCTCCAAGTTCCTGGTGATCATCATCTCAATGTACGCTGCACATTTTCACTGCACAGAAAGAGATGAATACAATCCCAGCTGACAGGCTGCTATGCAGCTCGGGAAAGGAGGTGATTTGAATTCTTCTGGGGATAGTCATTACTTTTTTCAGCTTAGATAATTAAAAGCTGGAGCTGGGTGTGGTGATACGTGTCTGTAACCCTCACACTCTGAGAGGCTGAAGCAGGAAAATTTGAGTTCATCCTGGGCAACTCAGCAATTCAGTGAGACTGTCTCAAAATAACAAAGAGCTCAGGACAAAGACCTGAGGTTCAATTTCCAGTCCTGTGGGAAAAATTGTGTACATATATGTGTGATTCAGAATTCAGGGTTAAAATAAAATACTCTTCTTCATTTACTATCTCCTACATAGAGCTAAGAAGTCACAGAGCCTTGGATTTGAATGTGTCTCTACATGTTCGAGTGAAGCAAGTGATTTAACTTTCCTAAGCCACAGTGCCTCAGCTTTAAAGGGAAGGCAGGGCTGGGTAAGTTCAGCACCATCTCCCTGGAGATGGTGCAGGGGACCCCACGTATGCAAATGTCTGACAAGGACTTGCACTCAGGAATGCTAGTTCTTTGTAATTTAATTATTATTTTAAAAATAACGAGGATGATGAAATACACCTATTCCAAACACCATTTTCAAGTGTATGGTTCAATAGTGTTAATAAGCTCATTCACAACACCGGGCAATGGTCACCACCATCCATCGCTCCAGAATTCTCGTTTATTCCACCTGCCCAGTGCGGATTCCTGCCTCTCTAGACAGCAACAGAAACTGGGAGACCTGCCCCGGGGGGTGGATTTACATATTGAAGACAAATTGGTCCAGAGATTTTAAAACACTGACTTCTATGCAACCATTTATTGGTGGCATTAAAAATACAAACGAGAGCCCTTTGAAATAAATGCAAAGTAAAATGCTTATGGATCTTAAGGACCTCGCTTGCATCTCTAAAAGCAGGCTCTCTCCAGACCTGCCCCACTTTGGCAGGATAAAAGCGGCGATCATTTTCGCTCCAGAAATTATGATGTTGCATAATTCAGCAGTGCCTGGTCTATGCGTAAAATGTCATCTTGTATTAATTCATTAACTGAGTTCACTTTTCTTAAGAGCGTAATGAGCCTGCTGGCCAAACTGCTAATGTCAGAGCTGCTTGGGACATAAGTGGCAAGAGCGTAATCCACAGATAATGAAGTTTCCGTTTATTCTGGCTGTTCCTCAAGCTTAAGGTCTTCCTGCTCCGCCGTTAAACATCTTAAATTGCTGTGCTGTATCCGATCTGCTGCTGCGTCAATTCCAGGCTGTCTGTTTCTACCCAGAGACCATAGTCTCAAAACAGCTGCTGCCCGCGCCACTTGAGGTGACACAGGCTGGGTTTTACACACTTGCACGTGCTCTTCACCTCAAAGCCATCCCCCAGTTGTGCCCTTACCATGACGGTTTTCCAGCAGATGGCAGCTAAGTGTCCTGACTGCATACCTGTTACTAATTCACTCAGAGGCGCCATCTGGATGGGTGGAGGGACCAATGCAGGCAACACCAGTGACTCAGGCTCCTCTCCTTCTACAGAATTCCTTCCTCCAGAGGCAAACAAAATTTTCTCTGGAATACTAGTATTATTATTTTTGTCTATCAGGTTAGAAAAGCACGGCTTGATCTCACATGTTGTTGGTCAGGTCTTGGGAAAACAGGTAAATTCACAGTGTATATACACTATGATAAAAAAAATGTGGTGTTTAATTTCTTAGATGTATTACTGTAAACAATACACTGCCATTGTAACCCCTCATAGTATCTCCCTTCTCATCACATACACTTATGCCATTGTTTTTGCTGCTTTTGGAAGCAGTTCTGGACATTTTCTTCCATGTCTTTAGTTGCATGGCTATGGCTCAGCTGATGTCCTGGGCAGATTCTATGCATTTATCTTTTGTGATTATTTTGGTAGCAGAAAATCCAGAAGTTGTACAGTACCAGGTCTGGTGAATAAGGTGGTTAAGAACACACCATACTTAAAAAAAAATATAATGTATATGTATATCCATTGACTTTTTGAATCAACTCAGGACGTCATGATTGCCACAAAAAGATACTCACACAAGAGGACTTGCAGAACTAAAGTGTGGTCCAAGTGAGGGCGACTGTTTACAGGAGGTAAATAGCAATGTATCTTTTACTATGATGAAAATAATAGCACTTTCTGTTGAAACATTCATCCTAGGTTCTGATCATACTTGAGGGATGGGGGGAGGGTAAACTGGTACAAACTCAGGGGCACAGTGGGGAACAATATATAGTCTATCTTGCATATGGATGGGCTCCATATTCCTGGTTCTGCATCTCTGTATCCAAGCTCCTGCCAGTTCAAATGTATACGGAAGAAAAATTTTTTTCTTCTGCACTGAACAAGTAAAGACTCTTCTTTTGGTTATTATTCTCTATATAATACACTATAACAACCAGTTACATAGCATTATGTATTGAGAATTATAAGTAAGTTAGGGTGATATAAAATGGGCAGGAAGATGTATATACAGCACCATTTTATGTAAGGGACTTGAGTGCCTATGGATTTTGGTATCCTGAAGCCAGTATCTTACAAATCACCTGTTATGGTTCATATCTAGATGTCCCTTCAAAGTCTCATGCACTCCTATGTGGGGATTTTGATAGGCTGTGGTGGGGATTATGGATGTGCTATTACTGGGTTAGTCCACTGTTTGGATTAGCATCGTTCTGGGAGTGGCTGAATGGAATTACTAAAAACAGAAGATTCATCCTGGATGTGAGTGGCACCAACCAATAGGCTTGTTGCTCAAATGGAATAAAAAGGGAAAGAAAGGCTTGTTGCTTGCGGTCTTCTGCCTGCCATGGTATTAACTGTTTATACTGTAATGACTCTGCCATGCCACCTTTGGAGTCACCTGACTATGGACTAAAACCTCTACAAACTGTGAGCTGAAATAAACCTCTCCTTCTTTT